CAGGAAAAAACAAACAACCTGCACGGCTCACGCAGAACAGTTGCAGATATATGGTTAAGTTACATGCTATACTAAGAAAAGGACATTCAGTTAAGGTTCTATTATTACTATGTAGCTGGCGGTATCCAGTAACATATATGATAGAACATAATATGAGAAGACTGGCAGAAAGTAGTAAAATAGTAAAATGATGGTAAAATTATTTGTCTGTTCAATAGACTTGACTGATGTTGGACTTCCATACTAAAGACACAGCTTTACATTAAGAGGTATAGGTTCGTTAGGATTGTCCACTGTGCCCCTAATGGGTTATAACCAGATTGCACTGCATTCCGTGCCAGTGAGACATAGGCAAATACGAAGGCCTGAAGGCAAACGGCCACAGGCCTGCCACTCTGGCTGACACGTAAGGTGGCCCCGCCCACTCCTGCCTAATCTGAAGAGCGGATGGGGTATCTGCAGGGTTACTGCAGAGTAAGATCTGCACGGGGAGGCCCCAAGTGGCAATAGACAGAAAATAAAAGTATCACGAGAAAAGAAAGCAGAGCAGAAACTCCATAGTCTGACACTCAGACCCACAGAGCCGGTGACTCAGCGGTAAAGCCCCAGATGGGTGTGGCCATGTGGATCCGGCAGTTTCCCTGGCAACATGACTCACCCACTGAAATTAGGCCCTGACCAGCCGAGGGCTGCGGTCAGAGCTTTGACTGTTGCCCCTGGCAACAGTGCCCAAACACAACTAGGACTGAAAGAAGGCTATACCCAGATGATAAGTATTTCCTGTGCATACAGTTCAGCTTGTGAAAAATCTAACAAACCCGAAATAATGTGGTAGTCAGAAGAAATGAGTTAGGCAAAAGGTGCTCTTTGCACACTTCCATCTGGTTCAAATGTTTCAACTATATGCTTTTTGTTGGCAAAAACATTGAATAAGATAGAGTTTGGCAGCCAGGCAGAATAGGTTTGGTTTGGTTTAGTTTAGTTTAGTTTTTCTTCAAGGTTGGGACTATAAAGAGATTCGTTTTTCAGGGAAACTTCAGATGTCATTGCTCTCAGTTATTTTGTGGGCCTTCCCTGTTGTGTGAACTGAATCAGTCAGAATGGAATCTGCGCCCATATGTAACTGACTGTTCCGGAGCTTTCAGCTGGCTCTATCCACCACAAGGGGTCTCCTTTCTCAGAATGAGGGACATATCAAGCAGCAGAGCATACAGACCAATGGGGTGTGTCCACACTAGGGCTGCCGCGATTAGTCGGCGTAATCGATGATGTCGACGCTGAAAATGCGTCAACATCAATATTTTAAATCGATGCGTCGTTTTTTATTTTTATTTTAATGAAATTATCATTATGATTTCCAAAACGCTTCAGTTCATTATAACAAATGTTTTCCTTTAATATCATTATGTAATTATAGTAGTTCAAATTATCACAAATTAAAAAGGTGTTTTTACACTGAAAAGTTGCATAGCATACTACAGGGAGCTTTATAATATATTATGTCCTTGTAGCTGCTATATACACTCATGATTACAGCCATAAAGTCGTCTGCCTGCTACCTTAGAATCTCCATTGAATAAGTGTTTGAGAAAATGTTTAGGCTAAAATCTCGGCTTATTCTATGGTGCCATAGTCTCCACTGCATGAGGGAGTCGCTCAGAAATCAGCTTTACAGCGTCTCGACTAACTGTAAAATTAAACTCTGTTCATGGAATGTGTGATAATTCCCTGCTGATTATAAACGTTAAAACAAGGTCGGGCCAATTTCAAAGAGCTCCGCTTAGGAACACAAACATACAGAGAGATTAGATTTAGATTGAGATTAGGTATCTACATCTTTGCAGGGACTATTCATTCATGACTGTGGGCCTAACCCTAATTCCAACTGACAGCCTTAACCCCTACCCAGCCCTAACCTTACCCAGAAGTACCCAAACAAAACACTTTTGGCATTTTTAGTTTTTTTTGATAGCATTCACAAATTTTCATAAAACTGGGTTTCCCTTTGTGGGGAAAGAAAAAAAAATGTCCCCACATGGTCAAAATAACAGATTTTTATCAGATTGTGGGGACGTTTGGGTCCCACGATGTAATGGACACATGACCACACACACCTCAGCTGAAAACACTGCGCGCTGTCTCTGCATTGTTGTGAAACTTCTTCAAACTATACTTTCATATCTATGTCAGAAGGCATGAAAAGAGAAGTCATGCAATAAGCAGAGAAGTGAAAACTTATTCAACAAACTCCTAGTGAGATTAAAAAGTTAAGATTAAAGACTATAAAAGTATGTGTGGCCGGGTACAAGAGGGAAACGTGAGTGCACTGTGATAATGGATGAGTGAGGAGAGCTAGACTGAAGATCTGAAGGTTCCCGGTTCTGGCAGTTAGAACTACAGGCATTTCTGTATGATCTGCTTCGTTGGACATATAGGGGGCAGCGTGTGGCTCAGCAGGTCACCGATCAGAAGTGGGCTGGTTAAAATCACAGGGCTGACAGAGTGATGTCACCATTGGGTCCCTGATGAAGATCCTTAACCCCCAATTGCTCCAGAAGCACCCACTCGCTCTCAAAAATATACACTTTGGATGAAAGGGTCTGATAGATAAATAAATGTAATGAGTGTGACATTAAACCGTGTGGTGAACTCTAACTCAGCACTGCTGTCTTTTTGCATGGACCTGGCATCAGTGAGAAGCAGCAAGCCTCACAGGCACAGAAGGCCTTGCAGAGTTCGACAAGAAGTTAGTGGAATCATCTCCTAGGAATATCAATCAAGGTGATCTTGACACCCATATCTACAAGGATAGCATAAGTCCAGCATGTCTGGCCTAGTCACTGACCCTTTAAGGCAGTAACGCTGAGCAAAACCTGCATTTTAGGTATCTGTAGGGCAAGGACAGGAAAGTCAGTACTCCTCTACAGAGCAGCTTCCAGAACATGCCATTCGATATTTATACTTCCATTGCCCATTTAAGAAATGACCTGTCCCACTCCAGTGGGGACAAAAAAAGGAAATGGAAATGAATGAATGATTTACTGTCACTATGTTCTGATGAGAAAAAAATATCCCTTAAACTACGGTGCAGAGAAGAGGCACTTCTGGGTGGCCCATGTGAAATAGGATATCAGTCGATTAATAAGCAGGGATCAGGTCATATTTCTTTACTAATGTGAAACCATTTGTGTTTCTTTACTTTCTTCAGGTATTGTTCTGCATCGGTATGTTTTTCAGCATAACAACAAGACAAAAAAGTCAACCAGTAAACCAGATGACAGATCCGAGTAACCTAGCCAAAACATTAATCCAAAGGAATGAATAGCATTCAACCTCCTCTTAGAGATTTATTGTGGATGAAGCATTTTTCTTGTGAATATAGCAGGGCTCCTTCCTGGCATGTGAACCAACGACCCTCAGGTTAGGAGTCCACATCCTTAACCACACAATTTCTGCTGAGTAAACAGTCAGTGTTGGTCCTCATCATATTTATCTTCTGACCTCCAGGACGCAGCACTGATTTGTGATGTAGTTCAGTCACAGCAGTGTGAGGCTTTATCACTCTACAGAATGTGTTCACAACCTGCCCCATACGTCAACAGGGCCCACAGAGGACCTCACCCCGGTAACGCAAAGACCAGCCATGCCTTTCAGCCATGTATCAATGCTGCAGGCTTGCCCGCAAAACACCAAGCACCCACAATGCACTTTGATAATCAACCCATCTCTGGACACAATGGAGTGGGGGCCCCCAACGTTTCCAGTGAACTTGGCAGCCATACTAAAGCTCAGATGTCATATGAAAAGCGCTGCCCTCTCGATAAACCCCAGAGTTCACACCGCCTGTTAAAAAAAAAAACTCTTTTATCCCCAATCATGCCTTTGACACTGAAAGGCCATTGGGGGTAAACAGCTGTTCATGGATGAGTGGATAAACGCACCTCAAATCATGGCCCAGTGTTCACACTCCACCAATCCACAATTACCACTAGTACAAGCCTAGAAGTCAGCTACTGTTCACACTCTCCACCTCTGGGAGTCCCTGAGCCGGGTCCAGAGAACAGGAGCTTGTTGAAAAGCCTCAAAACCCCATGGGGAGAGGAGATTTGCAAACCACAGGACCCCACCCTCCCAAGCACAAGCCAAAAGCCAGACTTTAGAATGAGATCTGTAGGGGTACCAGTCTAAATTCAGGACAGGACTCAGTGTATGGTACCTGAGGCTTGATGAAAGGAAGCAGTACTGACTCTGACTCTGACTCACCTCATTGGAACCTGTGAGGGATGAAGGAGGAGACAACAGGGGTGACTCTGCCTGACACTCTGGGGGATTCTCAGGGTGGGCGTCCGTCTGTCCCATGCTGACAGCAGAGGGGTGAGGTATAGGGGGAGGGGTTACTGGCAGGATATGTCTGCAAGACCCCATGTGTCTTTCTCCCAGAGCTGCGATCTGGAGTCCCGTGATTTCACTTCCTGTTTTGAACCACAAAACTGCAGCTTATGAAAATGGCATCTTGACTGGCCGCCAGCTCAAACAGAGAGGGAGATGGCAGTGTACAAAGAACTGCCATAAAACGCTACCGGCCCAACCCAACTGAGCAGATACTGAACAATGCCAGGGAAGACGGCTTATGGTGAGGAAATGCGTGAGAGACCAATATGTTCCTCAGTCTCAGCTAAGAACAACAACGCTCCCTGTTTCAGAAATAACTGTTCCTCATGTTCGGTGTAACAAGCAGAAAACAATTAGGGCCTCTGTGACCAGAGGCCTGCAGGCTTTGGAACCGCCTCTGAATTCATGACTAAAGCATGGACCGATATGCTGAGGTGGGCTGGCTCACTCGCCTCATGATTACTTCAATCAAACCATCAGCAGGTAAGAGCTATTAAACAGAGCAAACATCAAACAGGAAATCAATGAAATCCAGGAGAGAATGGGGAAAGGTGATCAGCATGCCCAACGCCTCATAACTGACTTGTCAATGAAATCCAGAGACGGCATAACTCAAACTGATTTACATAAATCAATAACAACCCTCTGAAGGCCATCACCCTCCAAATGACGATCATAAATCAACGATCATAAATGCAAGATTCCTCTTCCATATTTTCCTTGTTTATCATATTTCTCTGCCATAAAGCCAGATGCTCATCACTGCGAAAAACATTGTTGTAGTGTTCTGTTTCCAAAAAAATAATTAGCGCCAGCAGGTTTGGGTGGAGAAGTAATAATGCACTTATCAAAACTAGTCACGAGTTGCGGAATGGTCTGTTATCCTGAGAAATCAGGCAAAGAGGAGTCATTTAGGGTGTGTCTGTTGCAGGTCTGCGATCTGCATGACAGCTGCTGTCCTGGTCATCCGGTCCCACTTCTCTATTTGCTGAAGGTGTTCTCAGGCGTGGTTAATGCAGGTGAGTCACGTTATCTGTAAGTGGATCCAGCATGAACTCTTTTTATTCTGAAGAATTAATCTTTTCATCCATCTGTCCATCTTATATAACCATTCATCCAGTGCAGGGTGCTGGTGTACTATTTCATTGTTGTTATTTCACTTATAAAGGAGCCTTTGCCACGGTCTGAGACCTTCTGGATGCTTCTTTGAGCAGAAGAATGAAACCGCAGCTTCAGTGCACATTAACACTTGGCCCCATATGCCTGTTTAACCTGCATAAACTTTTTTACTAGTCCATTGAACAACAAGAGACAGCTCTCGGATAAATAATACACAGGCACATTTTAAAGAGGCGACGTCATCTACCTGAATTAAATGGCAGTTAACTATGCTTTGGCACAAAAATGATATTACTGAACACAGTGTAAGGCTGATCTGAGATGAGATCAGCATAGCTCCAAGGAATGGTTTGTACCACTTTTTGCAAATGAGACATTTGAATACTTTCATTGCACAAGACTAGCAGAGAATGAAAAGGGAATTTCAGATGTGAAAAAAGACACTGACGAAACAACCACCGGACGTGCAAACCAACACCACAGTCGCTCCTCATCTACCTCGTGCCCACAGCTCCACAACCTCCTTCCCTTTCCTGTGTGTGTGTGTTTGAATGGCCGTCTCAGATCCTCCGCAACTTTCAAACCGTCCACTGGTAAACTGGCCTCTTTAACCTGAGCAGCAGCTGTTCTGTTTGGAACTTACCTGAAAAACAAAAAACGTAAAGTATTCGGTTAGGTTCTTTTGGCTACAGGTTTTTCTGCATTATGAGGTCTGCACAGAGGTGGAAAGTACAAATCCAGACCAAGATTTTATTTTAACCAACCAGTTGCGTATAAAAAGTAATAGTCACAGATTATTCAGCTAGTTGGTTAAAACAAATCCTGGGCAGGTGTTAAATATTTATTGATTCAGTAATAGCTGGACATAACATAACATATATCACATAATATCAACAACTTCCTAACTGTTAAGCAAGAAACATGAAAGCAAACTGTTTTCCGGTTTCCTTTCGAACAGCACCACCTAGTGGAGAAATGATGGAGAAATTATTAAATGAAAAATAATAAAACGTAAACCAAAGTTAAACGATACTTTGAGTATCAAGTTATCGGACATCAGTAAACCAGGCCATCATGACACCTGAATTCCATTGGTAAGCTGCAGCTTGCTGTTTCTGGACCTTTATTCTACTGATACTGACTGTGTACCCCTGTCCTTCTGGTAAATCCTTCGGGAAATATCACAGAATGATGTCATGAAGCTACAAATAAACCGTGACAAAGTTAAGGCAGTAAGGAATGCAGTAAATAGTCAAGCCAGCCCGTCCGGACTGTCAAATAAAATCCCGTTACCCCACCCCCTTAATCTGACAGCGCGGTAAATAAGATAGACAGGCATAAAGTTTCATGTTATGCCTTATACCCCACTGGAAGGAGCTTAGGGAGATCAGGGATTCCCTAACTGGGCGGTACTCGTTTTAACTGGAATAACTGGTCCTGTGTCGGGCACTTCTGGGTTTCTCGGATGATTTGTCGACAGTATAGTAACTGCTTATGCCTCATACATGTATGTCTGCTGAAAAATCAGAGAGTTGGGTGACGGAAAACTTGTAAATTTCCGTGAAAACAAACGGTGACCCATCAAAAAAGACTCCTTACGGATACGGCACCAGTCCTGCCCGATCGCAGCGGACCAGCTAAGCTAAACGGCTAAAATATGAGCACGTGAAGCACGGCTCATGAAGACCGCTGCCGCGTGAGGATTCCGCGGTTCGTCAGGGCACGCGCGCCTTGCCGCGGAGGGAGCGCGCTTGTGATTCCTGCAGGGTGACGTCATTGGGGTATACTTTCCCGTATTAAAGCGCCAGGCGCTTTGTGATCTCTGTATCATCCTTACGGTGGCGGTTGCCAGTTGGGTTTAAGAATATAGCTTCTTGATCTGACGTTCACGATGCGCGAAACCGTGTCTTTTTAAGCATCATCAAACTAAAAATCATCAATAAATCTTCTTGTGCAGACAAAGAGCCTTTATATAAGACTGAAAATATTAAGTATCTCCCATTTATTGAATAAGCGATTTCCTGATCACGTCCAAGAGAATCTTACTTTGATATAACCTGGGGTCTTGTAGTTCAACATTATTTTACACTGGAATGAGGTGTCATTTTATTTTTTACTTTGTTCACTAGCTTTCTGAGAAGGAAAACAAGTTCATCCAGAACCGTGAGTTTAGTCTGCAGGCTCAACTACATTCAAGATGAACATGTCGGTGGACACAAGGACAGCAAGTAAGTGCCATAAAGTCCCATTTAAAATTATAAGCTCTTTGTTTGAACGTAGTTCTCCAGAGGTCCTGTTCTTTTAATGACTTTTGAAAATACATGAACATTTCTACATGAAGATATCAAATGCACGCTATATCAAAGGCATTAATTTAACAGATACTTTTATCTAAAGCGATGTACAGCTGAGAAAGAGGAATCAGCTGGTCCCCGGTGCAGTTACAGGCCTCCCTCAGCTTCCCAACCGTCAAATGACTCAAAGACATATGAGGTCTGGTTCCAGTATTATTTAAGGGAAAGTCACAGTTATAAGGAGATAATTAGCCGGTAATTGATAAGATTATGGTGGGGGAATTGGTCAGAGATCCGAAAACGCAAGGAATTCCTCGGCAGTTCTGGGAAGCCAAGCTCACCAAGAAGCGCATAAAATGTATCACCGAAAGTCTGCCAGAACACAGCCTGGCTGAGGGGCTGTGGGACAATACCCACCTTTAAACAGCCTTCATGCCTGGTTACACAGCGAAAAGTTTTCCCATCCTAAACTATTTAAGCCCAAAAACCAGGGCAGCTTCTGGGTATTGGGAACAACTGTTGCCCTCTCTTACTGTCAGTTATCCCCATGTGTGAAGGCCATAACTAACCCAAAACCCTGATAGACATCAATCCACAGGTTTACTGAGAAGAAAATAAACTGATCATGTGTTTCAGGTCCTGTGTCTCCCGTGCGAACCAATAAACTGGCAGCAAAGTGCCAGGGCTGTGGAATCCCCGAGAGGCAGTGAAACACGATACAGGTGTTGTGTGTCTCGGGGGAGACACGCCCGCCTCGCCCAGCCAAGCACTGCACCGACAAAGCAGCACCTACAATCTGCCAAACATCTGCACGCTTTGATCCAAGCCGCTGCGTGCCAGGAACAGAAGTTCCAGAAGCCATACATTTTTGAGAAGGTCTAACCTGGCCTGGGCAGAGTAGCCAGGCCGTAACCGTCACTGGGAACAGAATGAGTGCTGATGTAACATGGCTGAAGCATCTTCCAACGCTTTTCATCGCTTTTCAACAAGTGGCAAGTGACATTCTGCAAACGTGCTGCCAATTTGTAAATGAACAGCTTGGGAATATGCTCCGACAGCACCGAGACCAAGCAGGCGAAAACAAACTGTTCATCAGCTGTTGCCGGGTCCAAAAGACCAATTAAACAGCGCATCAGCTGCCAAGTTCGGCAGATCTGACACATCGCCGTACTGTGTCATTTCACTGGGAGCCTGACCTTCCAGGTGCTTCTGTGTTACCACGAGAGCAAGCGCTTTGTGGGAGTGAGATCACAGCGAAATGCTGACATTTACAGCCATGCTCCTGGGCGTGAATGCTGTTTAGCTGTACACCCGCAGCTAGTAAGATGGTCCTGTTTGTTAACTGCTGCAGTACCCTAAGGTATCTTGTGTAAAACAACAAAAATGTGCAAAATGGTGAGCCACTAATCAACCACAATCCAGCAAAAGCAGACTGTGAGAAGCGCAGTACTGGGCGGACCTGGTTTGGTGCTTACTCTAACATCCCGGCCTCAGCCCACTAAGTACACTTTGACTCGTGATATGGGTGGCAGTTTCTGGTACTACCCTAACTATGCCAACAATAAACTGTATTAAGTTCTACCACACTAACACACAGGTTCCGGTGGTCACACGGCAGCACAGCCATCTCTCTGTCAGCACACCCCCTTTGGTTTCCTCAAGGCGGAGGGGGTCTTGCGCCCTTTTCCAAAGGCCCTTATGGGTTTGTGTACTCACACTTAGCCCGGTTGCCCGAGTACGTTTGCCCACCCCCTTCCCACTCCCCCGCTGGTCTGCGCTCACATTGCACTTAAGGATCATGTACTGAGCCAGCCTTCATCACCACGGTGTCGCTTCTTATACTGAAGAAAATAGATGAAGTAAAGCGCTGTTGTACAGCATTCACGATTCACGATTGACGCCATTATTTTGTGGCTTATTTGGCTTTGTTTTGGGTACAATGACACACAGATTTATCAAGTATAAAATGCAGTGACTTTTTTATTTATCTGTGCTGCACCAATAAGATGACAGTCTCACATTTTACCAAATAGTTTCTGCAGGCTAGTGTTGCACGGGATATCGGTAATGAAAAAGTACCATGTTTGATATTATATTTCTATAGTACCGGTACAAATTACACTATTACAAACATTGCTAACGTTATATATTGCTAACAATTGAATCAGAACTATGGACTGAATATGTCTGAACCCCTGCCAATCCCTGTCTGGGCGCTTACATTATCTGCCATTTTTTACAGTGGAGCGTAACGGTGCACTGGATTTTGGGGGTCAGCTAGTGTGAGTACACCCTCATACTGCTGAAGCAGTCTCATAGCACAGCCCTCACTGCCTCACTGGACCCTACCCAAGTCCCCCTCCATTATGTGGAGCCAGATTGATCTAGAATGGTTTATAACGCCCCCATCGCTCTGTTTTGTACGAAGTTTACCTGTTTTTCACGGGGAGTGAAACAGCAACCTGGGATGTAAATTTGGATGGGGTAAGCACCTCTGCTGCATCGGTGGTGGATGCAGTGAGGAGTGCAGTAAAAAGTGCAGTGAAGATCACAAAGTGTAGTGAGCAGTACAGGGAGAAATACAGTGGCAATCATAGCAGTAAACGCAGTGGGAACAGCTGTCATGTTATAATCACTCAGTTAATTATTGAGTCAAAAGAAACAAACAAATGCATTTCCCAGCTGGCCGCTTATGTGGATAGACCCATCCAAGTGGTGTTGAAATGTGACAGTGAGCCATGCAGCCTCCAGTGCCTGTCACACATGGGCCGGTATCGTGAAACGCGGCACGCAGGAACCCTGCAGTGCAGACTTGGTAGCCACCCTAAAAGTTATATGTAAATAAGCTGATCCAAGCTTTCAAGTCAATACTTGTGTATTTGAGGATTAAATAAATGTATTTCCATTCAGACTGCATCTAAATATTAGCTTAAAAGGAGTACAAAGCCAAAGGCATATTTCAAAAACGCCACATCTTAAGCACTCAATAACGCTGCATTGTTTTTTGACAACAGGTGTGGTAAATACTGTGACCGTGTGATAAACTCCGCCCCTCCGCATCCCCTCAGAGCCGCCCTGTCCACCAACTAAAGCGGTGGACCTTTCAGTCCCCCAAGCGGCTAGTGTACCGCTCAGCCGTCTCACTCTCCCTCAGCCTCGGACATCCAGGCACCTGTAGTGCATTAGTTCTGCTCCCTAACCTGTCCCCCTTCGTCTACAGAACACCGCTGCTATTCCCAAGACACTGATTTTGCACATGGTCCCCCGACCAAACTTCTGAATTTAGTAAATGAATGGTCGCCTTACTGTACCTTTATCTGAGAAGCCGTAATCCATGTTCCAGGGTAAAAGAGGACTTTGGAACTGCTGGGAAAGCTTCCCTGAGCTTTGGCCCTATCTCACTCTCTCGGTCTCTCTGTCTCCCTCTCTCTCCCTTCCTCTCTCTCTCTGTCTTTCTCTGATCCAACACACGTCACGCCTAGCAGTCTCAGAGAACGGGATTCTTCCCCACCTTCCTCGGATCCTGGTACGGGTCGGAAGCCGGAGCAGAGAGGAGCGGGAAGCTCCGGGGCAGCGGTGCCACCGCGGGCCTGACTGGGTCTCCCACGAGACAGCGACACGGGCCCCTGGTTGTACCGTGTGAAAGCCAGGCATCGTGTTTGAGACTTTAAACTCAACTCACCCGAGGCACAAAACAGGTATTAAGTTTCCACGGCCCCATGAGGGTGAAACCCTGTCCCTTCCATGCAGGCAGAGAAACACCCCCCTCGAATGAGCCAGGGCAAACTGAGGATCACTGCAATGGCGATGCAATTACCACATCGGTATCGTTTACATGTGTGAATGCGAATGACAGAACTACGTGGGGAGACTGACGCTTCGGTGATGGTGAGATACAAGGGGTTCAAATAACAGAACAAATGGCATTAACCGGTGGGCATTTGGAAATTTTGGGTGGGCACCAAATTGTGGAAGAGGTCTTTTGGGGGGGGGGGGGATGGCGATGGTTGTCGGGATGAAATGAAGACGGGAAGAGGAACCATTCTGCGTCGCACGTCCCACAGGTTCAGCCAGGACCGGGTGACAGGAGGAGCAGGAAGAACCACATGGGGCCACATCAGCAAGTCAAATAAACCAGCAGTGGATGGGTTCGAGTCCCCGGTGGCGCAGGGCTGGCACCCCTCTCAGCAGGGCGCTGACCCTGGTACGCCTTGCGAGTTTGGTTATATAACTAGTAAAAACAGACAGACGCTCACGTTACAGCGAGCGGGACGGGCAGCTAACCACTGAGAGGCCCTCCACACAATGCAGGCAGATGTTATTATAACAGCACCGCAGAACAAGTGCAGCCAGCAGCCAAGCCTGAAGTGGTGAATGATTAATGAGAGAATGCGAGTCGACGTCAATCGACGAGCACAAAAAAAAACCATTAAGGGGCTTAATGGGCATTAACAATGCCTTCCGAGGATGAATGACTCAAACAACCCTCAAAAAACAGCCTCTTAAACACGAATCCCTGAAGAAACGGAAACA